CTACCTATCATTTCCCCATCTGAAAAGGAAACAAGTTGTCTCAAGCGGCACACGCTTGGGATCCAGTCTGGTTTTAGACCTGGTCAAAGTTGTATAAACCGAATTTTCACCCTTCTCCAAATTCTTACTTCGGCACTGTTTCTCCCTGACGAGAGTACCCGANATTTCAGTTTGGTCATCTCTTTATACTAACAACCGATGCAGAGTTTGGGCTTGCGGCACTTTTTCGCCTTAGTTCATCATGGGAAGCGGTGTTCGTCAGATTTACTCTTCCCCTCTCTCCTTTACAATTTTAATGGAACTGGTTATGGAACCTGCTCTTTCCTTGTGTGATAATGGCGACAGGTAGTAGACTGTCTGATCTGGAGTATGCAGACGATATTGTACTGTTAATTGAAGACCCGGGTAAGTTTCAAGCCTTTCTAGATGATTTGTGTGCTGATGTAGCCATGTTCGGTATGCGTTTGTCACCTTCAAACTGTAAAATGTTGCCACAAGATTGGGTCGGCCCAGCCCCGAATCTCACTCTCACTGGGGAGATAGAGGAAGTAGACAAATTTTGCTATTTGGGCAACCATATCTCTCCCGGCGGACGGTTCACAAATGAAGCTTCGGCACGCGTACAGAGAGCTCGACTAGCATTTACCAACTTGAGACATCTTTGGCGCCGTCTTGACATCCGGATGTGTTTGAATGATCGAGTATATGCTGCAGCAGCTAGGCCAGTTCCGCTCTGCAGTGCAGAGACTTAGTCATTACGGGAACAGGATAAAGATAGATTAACGGTGTTCGAACACCGCTGTCTACGTCGCTTTGCACGTGTCTGGTGCAGTAACCGATCAAGCATTGTTGAGTTTAGGCGCAGAGTTTTGGGTAATTGTTGTCGCCGACTTGAGCAAGTGGTCGACTTCCGTAGGTGTGAATGTGGTTCGCATGTCATCAGGCAGATTGCCACGGTGCGCGATTTTCACCAAAGCAGGTAGTGGATGGAAAAAGGTCAAGGGTTGTTAAACTATAACCTAGCGTGAAGGTCTGGAAGCCCTAACCGGGAGAGTGACTCACGTTAGGCTCACGCGTTAGGTCTCCTGGATGAGGACATCGAGGTCATCATAACCGGTGGTTAAAGACACTAAATTACATGACTGAGTGTCGTAAACAGTGGCGATCGTGCATCTTCGCAATTTCTTTGCAACCTTGTGAATTGTTTATTTTCCCTTTGGCTGTCTTCTTTGTCTTCTATTCAAATGGGCAGTAATGAGACAGCAACCAAAACCGGCGTGCAAATCATGACAAATCA